CACCAGCCTAAGTCATTACTGTTTACATTTTTATCTTTTTTTTTCTATTTGAAACAACTTATTACAGTATTAGTGATAAAAAAATATATTAAAAATCAAAATTAAAAAATCAAATGAACCCATAAGTTGACCAAAACTTAACATTTTTTTTAACATCAATAAAGAAAACCAATCATTTGACTGTGGACTTATTGATGCCAAATGTCATATAAAAAGATGATTCTTATCCCAGTTCCAACTGGATATCCAAATTCTAATCAATGAAAATTATTTAGGGCATGATAGACCCAGAGTATTTATTACAAGGCAAGGATAACAGTAATGGAGAAGGAAATGGCAACCCACTCCAGTATTCTTGCCTGAAGAATCCCATGCACAGAGGAATCTGATGGGTTACAGTCTCTGGGGTTGCAGAGAGTCAGACTTGACTTAGTGACTAAACAACAAGGGTTAACAGTGGGAAGTTCAACACTGACAGTTTAAATAAATATAGAAAGTAATGCCCCAGATAATATCATAAGCTAATAAATCTATAATGAGAAACTTCTAGCTTCACTAACAGTACCTAATACAGGCAAGTAATTATTACACATTTCCTTGAAAAGAAGCTTCTCAGAATTGTTAATCATCTCCACTGTATGTGGCTTTGGTTCCAAACAGTAACAAAATCAGCGTCATTTTCTGCCAACCTCTTCAATGCTTCAGTGACATCATTACTACCTTTGACTATACATTAAACTTATTCCTGACTAAAAACTGTTTAACTTGCTATATTGTCTTCTTGGAACTCCTTTCTCTCAAGACCCCACATGGATATCTCCTCTACACCACATAGAGGTCTCTACTTAAAAACATCTCTGACAATCCTATCTAAAGTAGCAACACACACATACACACACATCTCTGTTTTATTATCTTTCTAGTCTTTATCACTATCTGAAATTATCTTATTTACTTATTCAATATCTATCTTCCTCCATTAGAATATAAGTTCTATAGGTAGAGAGACATTGCATATTTTTTCCCAGTTGGATCTCCAGTGCCCAAAACAGAAAAACAGAGCAAATACATAATAAATATTTGTTCACTACATGAATAACCTCTCTGCCATAAGATCCATTCACTTCTCTTACAGAAAAGTTACCAGGTTCTTAGTTATTTCAACTATTTACTATATTAAGTGTAGCTATTTAAAATATTATCTATTTCTTTTCTTAGCACACAGTAAAATGCACCAAAAAAGGAAAACACTAGAGATGAAACAATATTTTATAAAACTGGGTATACACACTGAAAAATCAGCATTCTGGGACTACTTTGTGAAAGTGGTACTACTCTGTTCAAAGAGCCTCAGGAATCCTGATATCATGTAATGTAATATGTAATTTAATGTAACTAGTTGTTGCTCAGTCACTTAGTTGTTTCTATTTGGATTCCCATGGACTGCAGCACGCCAGGCTTCCCTGTCCTTCACTATCTCCCAGAGCTTGCTCAAACTCACGTCCATTGAGTCAGTGATACCATCCAACCATCTCGTCCTCTGTTGTTCCCTTCTCCTCCTGCCTTCTATCTTTCCCAGCATTAGGGTCTTTTCCAATGAGCTGGCTCTTCTCATCAGGTGGCTAAATTATTGAAACTTCAGCTTAGCTACAGTGCTTCCAAAGAATATTCAGGGTTCATCTCCTTTAGGATTGACTGGGTTGATCTTCTTTGCTCTCAAGAGTCTTCTCCAACACCACAGTTTGAAAGCATCAGTTCTTCGGCGCTCAGCCTTCTTCATGGTCCAACCCTCACATCCATACACGACTACTGGAAAAACCACAGCTGTGACTATACTGACTTCTGTTGCCAAAGTAAAATCTGCTTTTTCATACGCTGTCTAGGTTTGTCATGGAGCGTCCCTGGTGGCTCGCGCCATAAAGAATCTGCCTGCAATGCAGGAAACCCGGGCTCGATCCCTGGGTAGGGACAATTCCCTGGAGAAGGAAATGGCAACCCACTCCAGCTTTCTTGCGTAGAGAAAGCCATGAATGGAGACGCCTGGTGGGCTACAGTCCATAGAGTTGCAGAGAGTTGTACATGACTGAAGTGACTTTGCATGCAGCAGGTTTGTCATAGCTTTTCTTCCAAGCTATCACTGAAGCTATCACTGGAGAAGGGAATGGCAAACTACTTCAGCATTCTTGTCTTGAGAGCCCCATGAACAGTATGAAAAGGCAAAAAGATATGACACTGAAAGATGAACTTCCCAAGTTGGTAGGTGCCCAATACGCTACTAGAGAAGAGCGGAAAAACAGCTCCAGAAGGGAATGAAAATGCTGAGCCAAAGCCAAAACAATGACCAGTTGTGGATGTGCCTGATGGTGAAAGTAAAACCGGATGCTGTAAAGAACAATACTGCATCAATTCAGTTCAGTTCAGCCGCTCAGTCGTGTCCAACTCTTTGTGACCCCATGAATCGCAGCCCGCCAGGCCTCCCTGTCCATCATCAACTCCCAGAGTTTACTCAAACTCATGCCCACCGAGTCGGTGATGCCATCCAGACATCTCATCCTCTGTTGTCCCCTTCTCCTCCTGCCCCAATCCCTCCCAGCACCAGGGTCTTTTCCAATGAGTCAACTCTTCGCATGAGGTAGCCAAAGTATTAAGAGTTTCAGCTTTAGCATCAGTCCTTCCAATGAACACCCAGGACTGATCTCCTTTAGGATGGATTGGTTGGATCTCCTTGCATAGGAACCTAGAATGTTAGATCCATGAATCAAGGTAAACTGGAAGTGGTCAAACAGGAGACAGCAAGAGTGAAGACTGACATTTCAGGAACAGTGAATTAAAATGGACCGGAATGGGTGAATTTAATTCAGATAACCATTATATCTACTACTGTAGGCAAGAATCCCTTAGAAGAAATGGAGAAGCCCTCATAGTCAACAAGACAGTCCAAAATGCAGTACTTGGGTGCAATCTTAAAAATAACAGAATGATCTCTGTTCATTTCCAAGGCAAACCATTCAATATCACAGTAATTCAAGTTTATGCCCCAATCACTAATGTTGAAGAAGCTGAACAGTTCTATGAAGACCTATAAGATCTTCTAGAACTAACACCAAAAAAAGATGTCCTCTTCATCATAGGGACTGGAATGCAGAAGTAGCAAGTCAAGAGATACCTGAAGTAACAGGAAAGTTTGGCCTTGGAGTACAAAATGAAGCAGGGCAAAGGCGAACAGAGTTTCACTAAGACAACACACAGGTCATAGCAGACACCCTCTTCCAGCAACACAAGAGAAGACTCTGTACATGGACTTCACCAGATGGTTAACATGGAAATCAGACTGATTATATTCTTTGCAGCTGAAGATGGAGAAGCGCTATACAGTCAGCAAAAAGAAGACTGGGAGCTGACTGTGGCTCAGATCATGAATTCCTAATTGCAAAATTCAGACTACAATTGAAGTAAGTAGGGAAAACCACTAGGCCATTCAGGTATGACCTAAATCAAATCCCTTATGATTATATGGTGGAAGTGAGAAGTAGATTCAAAGGATTAGATCTGACACACAGAATGCCTGAAGAACTATGGACAGAGGTTTGTAACAAGGCACAGAAGGCTGTAATCAAAACTATCCTCAAGATAAAGAAATGCAAAATGGTTGCCTGAGGAGGCCTTACAATTAGCTGAGAAAAGAAGAGAAGCTAAAGGCAAAGGAGAAAATACCCATTTGAATGCAGAGTTCTGAAGAACAGCAAGGAGAGACAAGAAAGCTTTCCTAAGTGAACAATATCGAAGAAATAGAGAAAAACAATATAAATGGAAAGACTAGAGAACACTTGAAGAAAATTAGAGATACCAAGGGAATATTTCATGCAAAGATGGGCTCAATAAGGGACAGAAATGGTATGGACCTAACATAAGCAGAAGATATTAAGAAGAGGTGGCAACAATACACAGAAGAACTATACATAAAAGAGCTTAATGACCCAGATAACCGCGATGGTGTGATCACTCACCTAGAGCCAGACATCCTGGAGTGTGAAGTCAAGTGAGCCTTAGGAAGCACTACTACAAACAAAGCTAGTGGAGGTGACGGAATCCCAGGAGAGCTATTGCAAATCCTAAAAGATACTGCTGCTGGAGTGCTGCACTCAATATGCCTGCAAATTTGGAAAACTCAGCACTGGCCACAGGACTGGAAAAGGTTAGTTTTCATTCCAATCCCAAAGAAGGGCAACGCCAAATGTAACTTGTAACTAGATAAATTTTTAAATGACCTTATATTAAAAAGCTCCCCACCTCCCTAATTCTGTTTTACTTTCCTTCATACCATTTCATCTCCACCTGACGTGTTATGTTTTCATGTTTCTTATTATTATTTCTCATGCACTATAATCTGGGCTTCCCTGGTGACTCAGACAGTAAAGAATTTGCCTGCATGTGGGAGACCCATGTTGGATCCATCAGTTGGGAAGATTCCCTGGAGAAGGGAATGGCAACGCACTCCAGTATTCTTGCCTGGAGAATCCCATGGAAGAGGAGCCCAGAGGGCTACAGTCCACGGAGTCACAAAGAGTCATACACGACTAAGCAACTAACACAAACACACACACACTATAATCTACATTCTTTTGAGAGTGAGACAATTGCTTGGTGTGTTCAATACATTATTCCCAGCATCTAGAATAATGTCTGGTTCTTAGCAGACTTTCATAAATATTCATTTAATGAATAAATGCATGAAAATCAAAAGGTAAGTTAATTATAATTTAAGTTTGCTTGAATATAAAATATCTTTTTCTTAAAGTATTTATCCCAAAAGGTTAAGAGTTTTAATACATAAATGAGTACATTTCTCTTATCTAAAAAATTGTTATGATGTACACTATTTCCTCTATAATTCCCCACATATATTGCATTACTGTAGTAGAACCCAGATGTTATCCAGGCAACTGCAATTTCACCAAGATCACACTACAAATAATTGGTTTCATGTTCATTCATCTCACCGAAAATTGGAAAATATCTTGAATTGCTGTAATAAATAGTAAAATCTTCTTTCTAGTAGCCATTCCAAAGTAGGTATAAGTTCTACTTCTTCTTCAGCACCTATTTTAGTAACCTGCATATATAAAGGACAAAACATGACTCAACTTTCTTAATGCACTATATTCAAGAAATTACAAAAAGCTGTGTTTGGCTCATAGCTAGCTGCCTTTATAGTAAGCTTTTTCTATATCTGACCTCTGCCACTTCATCTACACTCAAACTTGATTTCCCTTCACAAACAACTATTACTTTGAATCTCATAATTTTTACATTTTCCATAAAGTATTTATTAACTTAATTTGAACTACATGGATGCAACAGTTTCTAAGTGTATAATAATCCCAATCTCCAGATAATACCGTTTTGACATTCAAAAAACAAGATATGCTTCCTCTCTTCCCAAGAGTATCTCTCCCCCATCTAAATGTAATATTTTCTTAAATTTCTTTCATAAATAAAAGTTGCCTATATCAGCACATATGCATTTATGTACATGTTTTTATTTATATAGAAGTGGTTCATTCCACTTTCAGTTGATAACACATGCTTGAGGTATTTCCATATCTGCACAGTCTACTTCATTTAGATACGTTCCTGTGCATGTACATGTAAGAGATTAGTTAGGAGAACGAAAGGGCAGAAAAAGTCAGACTGACATTAAACAAATGATGGAAACAAGTTAATTTGTACTTACAACTTGTGGTAAATATCAAAGTTTTCTCTAAGAGTATAATAGGGAAATTTCTAGGTCTGGGAATGAAGTTTCTGAAAAATCTGAGAAAACACTCTATTTTTATTATTACAATACTCACTCTACCAGCAAATGCCTGTATTCTAGTTCTTCCTTTAATAAACTACACTAAATATTAAAAAAGCACCTGAGAGGTAAAAAAAAATTCTTAAAACTGAATCCTCAAACATAAAATTCTACAAAAAAGAAAAAAAGTCACTATTAAATAACTCTCTCAAGGAGACTCTTAAACATAAACTGTTACTCAAATGACCACGTTTGTCTGAAACCCCAGAAGATGAATTTGCCTAATTATGTTATAAAATGAATAATTTTTCCATTATGATTCTGAAATTTTTAAAAATCCCTTGTAAATATTACCTTTGAGATAAATGAAGCAGTAATAATCCAAAATTCTTTGCAATGTCTAGCTCTGTGGGCAGAGACTACATGAAGATCATATGGATTATTAAGAGCTTTAGAATTTTTTCGAAGGAGGCAATATATAAATTCTCCATCATCTTTCAAAGGTTCCTAAGGTTGGAAAAAATGTAATTAACTTTACCAAATTAAGTAATAAAATGGTTAAACAGATTATTCAATAAGCTGAAACAATTTTAACATAGATTAAAATAAGAAGGGAACCCAAAGTCAATGCTCTGTGACAACCTCAAGGGATGGGTTGGGAAAGGAAGTGAGGGGGTGTTCAACAGGGAGGGGACACACATATACCTACAGTCAATTCATCCTGATGTACAGCAGGAACTATCACAGTATTGTAAAGTAATTATCCTCAAATTAAAAATAAATAAATAAAAAAGAATAGTATCACTGAATGAAGCTAACATTAGTGTCTAATCAAAGCTCAATAAAACCACTCTTCTTAGGGTATTTAACTTTCATTCTCATACATAATGTGGTGATAACACATCCATGAAAATTGATCTATATACTTACTAACATAGGCTTATTAACCTGAAGAATTTGATGATACACCTAGTGTTTCACATACATTATCTTTACAGTTATCTCTTAAAGTTGACATTAAAGCTTAATTATTTTAATCTCATTTAAATTGATATAGAAATTAATTATTTTGAGAAGTTAGGTAATTTGAGAAAAGTCAGAAAGTAGCAAAGTAAGGATTTGAATACAACTCTGATTCTAAATCCACATTCTGAGCTATTGCAATATACTAAACATTACTTCCTTACTTACCTGGCATTATTGAGAAATCAGTCATTCTACATTAAGAAAAAGTTTTAAATGAAATTTATTTATTTCAGTTTTGAAACTTTTAACTGCTGACAAAAATTCTACATGAAAGTTAATCAGTCTTTTTTAAAAGTTAAATTTTATTATAAAAAACATTTAATAACTAAACAATTTATAACTACTGTAATTTAAAATCTTAGATCCAGTTTTACTTTAAAAAATTTTTTTCTTCTTTGAAGGCACTGTTCTCAATTGTCTCAGCTGTTTTTTTTTTTTCTTATTTTGACGTCTGATATAATGTGCTCTTAAAAACCTTAATAAACAACCTTAAAAACTGTAAATAAAATGAAATAATATACTCTGGGTGACGACTTCTATAGTACATGAACTTTGTTATAGTTATTTGACTACTTGAGGCATTTCTACTCTGAATTACATCTCCAAAAAGTTAAGGTTACTAGAAATTTTGTGTAGACACAATTATTCTAAGTGGATCATATATGTAATTAAATAATCTAATTACAGAAGCAGAATAATAATATATTCCAATTATTCTTTTTCAATTAAAAACAAGTGTTACTTTTTATATTCTCAATCCTTTCTCCACATACAAATGAAACATATCCTATCAGAGAGTCCATAGAGAGCTTACAATAGTAAACTCATGTACAGCTATGCTTTTTTAAACTACCATGCCCACTATCTGCCAGATACCATGCCACAAGCATTATCTCACTGAATTTTCATAGCTCTCTACAGTAAGCACTACTATTTCCACTTCAAGGTCCAAGATACTAAAGATCAGGGAAGTTAGGAACTTGCCCAAAATAACACAGTGAGTGTATAGAGATTCAAAACTAGGTGAATCTGATTCCATCATGCATGTATTTTACATTTATGCTGCCTCTGAACAATAATCAAAAGACCATTTATCCTCATGGGAACAGTCTAGAGCAGGGATCAGAAAACTGTGGCTAAGACCAGATGTCCAATTCTTAAATAACTTTTTTTTTTAATTCAGCCATGCTCATTTGTTTATACACTGTCTATCACTACTGTTCCACTACAATGACAGAATTAAGTAACTAGAACAGAAAAGCTTAAAACTAGTCTGAAAAGCTTAAAATATTTATTATCTGGGTCTTTCCAAATAAATTTTGCTTACCCTTGGTCTAGAACAGTGGTTCTCAACTGTGCATCAGAATCACCCAGAAAGCTTAATAAAATACAGACTTCTGGGCTCCAACTTTAGAGTTTTAGATTCAGAAAGTCAAGAGTGAAGATGAAAATACATGTTTCTAATATTCTGAAAGCTATTCTGGTGCTGCTTGCCTGGGGGCTGCACTTTGAGAATTCCTGAACTAAAAAGAGGAAGATATGATCCTATTCCATCTTAGATCACTTGTCATAAACGAGGTCACAGGAGGAAGATCTTACTTGTAATCATAGCTTCTACCTTTAGTCATGTGACCTTGGACAAGATAAAATCTCTCTGAGGAGGCTGCTGGGTAAGAAAAAAATACAAAAGGTAAGAAAATAGAGAAGAGGAGACAGAAAAACAGTACCAGGAGCAGGAGAGTAAGAAGGATAGAATGCTACAAAGTATTAATACATCAGGATTTCTTTGTAAATCACAAAAAACTAATCAACAGGAACACAAGAATAGATTCAAATTTCAGGGAGATGTCTTATCTGTTCATCAGTCTTTAAATAAGTGAAATGAAGTTACATCAAACATTTTTTGTAAGCAATTACCATAAAACAATGATTGCAATTTGATTAATGTAGTGATGTCTGATTTTGATAGACTATCTAAAATGAAGGAAACAAAGATTTACATATAGTTTTTAAATTTGAATTTTTATACTAAAAACTGAATAAAATAGAATAGTACCTTTAGAAGTATCTTCTGAGTTGCAGTTTTGAAACATCTGTATTCCAAACTGTGCTGTGGTAATACTGTTTGCCAACCAAGTTTTTCTCTTAGTCTAATAATATGACATATCACATCATCATCATTTGGTACTAGTTTAGAAGGTAAAAAATCCAATATCCAATGTAAGTGAAAATATGGACATTACTTAAGGATAATGTTAAATATTTATACATAGAGAAAAAATTAAATGGTAACACACTTAAAATTTACACGAACATTATATAATTGAAAGAAAATCCAGCTTGAAATTCAATTTTAACAGAAGCTGGAAAGTAGGAATAATATTTTTCTGTTTAAGAAAGATATTTCAAAAGACAATTTCACAATTACACAGACAATTAGTGAGAGAAGATACCAGGAACAGGAGCTAGTTGGAGTGTTTTCTTAGGTGGAGGCAACAGGATCAGAAAAGTAGGGATGGCTAAGTGAGATGGAAAGAATTCTTCCTAGAATTCATCCAACAGACACCTCTCAGACCTTATCCTTCTTGAAATCTTAGCAGCTGACAATTCTCTTCTTCTTGAAACATTCTCTTTTCTTGGTTTTTATTCACCATGCTTTATATATTATTCTCTTAGCACTTAAAAGCCACGCTGACAAAACTTACAATGCAAAGAAGTAGTTCAAAATATCTGGTCCTCCAGAAATCACAAACACAGTTTCTTTGCTAAGAATTAAATAATACTTTAGCTATTGTATAAAACAGTGTCAGGACTAGAATAAGGCATATCATGACCCTAAAAATAACCATTCCTCTTATAATATTTTGTTCCCTAGGCATCTAACTTATTTCACCCTAGTCTGAGCCTTGTAAGTTGCTTATATGGAAATACATTAAGAATAAGAATACTTTATATCTAACATTAGTTATAAAACAGAGAGAAGGAGGCACTGAAAATTAGTAAGGAGATGACACAAATTATGTATGTCCAATAAAGAGGATATATAATATTACATACTTAGATATGAACATATTACACGTATCTGTAGAAACCAAAGTAATGTGGTGTTGGAATAGGAAAAGCAAACCAGGTCAGTAGAACAGATTCAGTTCAGCTCAGTCACTCAGTCGTGTCCGACTCTTTGCAACCCCATGAAAGCAGCACGCCAGGCCTCTCCATCCATCACCAACTCCTGGAGTTTACCCAAACTAATGTCCATTGAGTTAGTGATGCCATCTAACCATCTCATCCTCTGTATAGTCCCCTTCTCCTCCTGCCCTCAATCTTTCCCAGCATCAGAGTCTTTTCAAATGAGTCAGTTCTTCACATCAGGTGGTCAAAGTACTGGAGTTTCAGCTTCAGCATCAGTCCTTCCAATGAACACCCAGGATTTATCTCCTTCAGGATGGACTGGTTGGATCTCCTTGCAGTCCAAGGGACTCTCAAGAGTCTTCTCCAATACCACAGTTCAAAAGCATCAGTTCTTCAGCGCTCAGCTTTCTTTATAGTCCAACTCTCACATTCATACATGACCACTGGAAAAACCACAGCCTTGAGTAAATGAACCTTTGTTGACAAAGTAATGTCTCTGCTTTTTAATATGCTGTCTAGGTTGGTCATAACTTTCCTTCCAAGGAGTAAGCGTCTTTACTTTCATGGCTGCAGTCAACATCTGCAGTGATTTTGGAGCCCAGAAAAATAAAGTCAGCCACTGTTTCCACTGTTTCCCCATCTATTTGCCATGAAGTGATGAGACCAGATGCCATGATTTTTGTTTTCTGAATGTTGAGCTTTAAGCCAACTTTTTCATTCTCCTCTTTCACTTTCATCAAGAGGCTCTTTAGTTCCTCTTCACTTTCTGCCATCAGGGTGGTGTCATCTACATATCTGAGGTTATTGATATTTCTCCCGGCAATCTCGATTCCAGCTTGTGCTTCATCCAGCCCAGCGTTTCTCATGATGTACTCTGCATATAAGTTAAATAAGCAGGGTGACAATATACAGCCTTGATGTACTCCTTTTCCTATTTGGAACCAGTCTGTTGTTCCATGTCCAGTTCTAACTGTTGCTTCCTGACCTGCATACAGGTTTCTCAAGAGGCAGGTCAGGTGGTCTGGTAGAACAGATTAGGGTACACAAAAGTGAAAGTGAAAGTGAAGTTGCTCAGTCATGTCCGACTCTTTGCGACCCCATGGACTGTAGCCTACCAGGCTCCTCGGTCCATGGAATTTTCCAGGCAAGAGTACTGGAGTGGGTTGCCATTTCCTTCTCCAGGGGATCTTCCCAACCCAGGGGTTGAACCTGGGTCTTCCACACTGCAGGCAGACACTTTACTGTCTGAGCCACCAGGGAAGCCCCAGAGTAGGCATAAAACCATTTATAAAAGACAACCTAGTACGGTCAAAGCTTTGGTTTTTCCAGTAGTCATGTATGGATGTGAAAGTTGGACCATAATGAAAGTTGAGCACTGAAGGATTGATGCTTTTGAATTGTGGTGTTGGAGAAGATTCTTGAGAGTCCCTTGGATAGCAAGGAGATCCAACCAGTCAATCCTAAAGGAAATCAACCTTGAACATTCATTGGAAGGATGATGCTGAAGCTGAAGCTCCGATATTTTGGCCACCTGATGGGCTTACTGGAAAAGACCCTGATGCTGGAGAAAACTGAGGGCAGGAGGAGAAGGGGATGAAAAAGGATGAGATGATTGGATGGTATCACAGTCAATGGACATGAGTTTGAGCAGGCTCCGTGAGTTGGTGATGGACAGGGAAGCATGTTGTGCTGCAGTCCATGGGGTCACAAAGGGTTGAACATGACTGAGCAACTGAACAACAACATTTAGTTTAAAAGGTGTTATTTCAAATCAATGGAGGAATGATTATAAATCATAATGGAAAATGGTTAGCCATTTGGAAAAGTACGAGGTTATATGCAAGCATAATTTATAGATGGATTAGAGAAGTAAATGCTGAAAAGCAAATTTCAGATGTGTTAGAAGAAAATATGTGAGACCATGTCTATAAACTTGGGGTAGTGAAAGTTTCCTGGAAAATAATCAAAGCATGTTAAAAAGAAAACAATAAATTTGACTTCCACAAATAGCAATTTACACAGAAGAAAAGCCACCATAAACAAAATTAAAATAAAAATTAACATACTGAAAATGTTTATAACCTATATAAGACTAGAGATCAATATATAAAATATTTAAAGGCTTCTGCCCAATCAATAAGAAATAAACATTTTGATAAAAAGATAAGCAAATAATTTACAGGAAAAGACAAATGGCCAATTAAAAATGTTCAACTTTATTAGTAAATCAGGGAGTTTTTCTCACCAATCGGACTAGCAAAATTAAAAGCTGGGATATCAACTGCTGGAAAAAGTAATCCTTTTACGCAAGAATGTAAAAGTATAAATTAATATATTCATTATTGGTGGTGATATGGCTGATTTAATAGATATAATAGAGATTGTTGGGAAATGGAAGTAATTCAGGACAAATAAAAAATAATGATTTTCCAGAATATGTAGTAAGTTTAAAGAATATCCTTCAAAAAGTTGGGAAAAGTCTTTCTAATAAGAGTCAGATTTAATGAAAAAATCATAGATATTTACTAAAAACAAACAGTATATTATATATTTAACATTGGAATGTGATGCACTTCCCTAAGTACGCTAGGTTATAGTCTAATCCAAGACAGTAATTCTTTATCTCAGAAACATGAGGAGACTGGTCTATAATCCACCTTCACAATCAGTTAAGAATATAGGGAGTTCTAGCTTAAGATGAGGAAGATGCTGAACCTCTTCCCATGGACACATCTGAATTTGGAGCAATTTCTTCTAAATGACTGATACATGTGGAACAATTTCCTCTGGAAATTTCCTTTGGCAGAGCAACAACATCATATTGGACAAAGGAGAAGGCAGCCAGATTAAGGTGGGTAGAGAGGCTGAGATAACAATCTTGTCCAAAACCCCACTCCTGGCACAGCAACCTAAAACCCACAACCCAAAATCTGAAATTCAAAATATGAAGCATTTCCCTGAAAAGCAAAGGTTTTGAATCTCACATTGGGCACCCCAACTTTAACACCTGCTCCTAAGGGATGAGCGCCCCCCCCTCCCCCGTCAAATCTAGCTTTGAAAACTGGCAAGGCTTGTGTCCACAAGACCCACAAGAGTGTAGTGATCTGAGAAATGGCTCTTAAAGGGTTTGTGCACTGAACTCACCCATGCAGAAACATAGCTCAGAGGCAGCTGATTACACTCAGACTTTAAGGGAAAGAGGTTCATTTGCATGTATTAAAGGGTTGGCCTGAGAGGCAGGCATCTAATTTAATGCACACATTAAGAGCCTGTTGGAGCACTCTCCAGGGACAGAGACTGGTGGACACCATCTTCAGACTCTTCCACTGCTTGCCCTAGCTGTCAGGCACCATTTGAGAGCCCTCGCTTTGACCCACTACAGCCAGTGATCACCTCTGCCACACTCCAGAGTACCAGTATGTCCCAGAAGAGAGCCCTTACATGCTTCTAGTGCCCTAATTTTTAAAGCTACTACCCAGAGGATGCCTTTTGATTATCTGGCTCTGGAGGATAAAGGGAGTTTGAGTTCCTGGTTCCATGGGGCTGTAAAGATCAAAGAGACAGCTATTGGCTGGCTACTACCCCTAAGGCATTGCACAGACAGGAGACTGAAACACACGCCCAGTGTCTCTGTGAAAGAGGTCCATTTGCTTGTTCAGGAGCATTGGCCTGAAAGGCAGGTTTCTGGTTTGACACATGTCTAGTGGCCTAAGGAAGTGCTCTCAGGAAGTGCTCTCTCTCTGCCTTGCTCTAGCTGTTGGTATCTCCCAAACAGAAACTGACAACTTGTCTGGCACCCCAATTTTTGCAGCTGCAGCCAGGAGACACCTCTACATGGCCAGGGATCATGTGTCCAGCAGAGCTATGCTCATGGAGCGCACAGGACTATAACCAATAGGAAAAGTGTTCTTAAACAGCTACCACCTCCAGGGCACATCAAGAGGCAACAGACCCAGAAGCTCAGCCTCCACAGCTCACTATTACCTCCCAGAAGTGAGTTTACACACTAGCTGGGGCCTCAATTTTCGTGACTACCATGCAGGAACAACCATGAG